TTTATTTTTCCCTTGATCTTGGTGGAAGGTCTTTGAAATGCCAGTTAGGGAATTTGGATGGATGAAGTACCTGTACAGACAGAGTCACCATGGGCTGGCATGATGGACAATGGGGATGTGTGCAACCCTTAAAAAGCTAGTAAAGTGGATTGGAGATTAGTCAACTAAGGTCCAGAAAAATGACAACTTGAACTAAGGGTCCTGTCCTACCACTTACCAGCACCTTGACCTTGAGAGAATTCGTGATCTTCTCTTAGTGTCAACTTAAGGCACCTACTGTTAATTGCAGCTGTGAGTATCAGATGAGGTCGTCCATTTGAGAGCAGTTTACAACCGCCAGTGGTGTAAAAGTGTAAAGCAGCAATGAGGGTTGGGAACATTACAGCAATACTTGTTATGATAGTAATATTAAAACACGTATTAGATAGTTTTTGCTGTGGCAACAAGCAAGCCCCAAATCTCAGAGCTAACTCTGGCAGTTATTTCTCACTCATGTTAAATGAGGACTGTAGGCTGGCTGTGGCTCTGGTGCAGGCTGTGGGCTGATGGAGTCTGCTTCATTTGTTTTCTCAATCCAGAATCCAGGTTGGAGGAGCAGCACCCATCTCATAGCTGCTTTTCTTGAGGGGAATGGGGTGGAGGGGCAGAAGTGAAAGAACTTCTCAGATTTGGCATATCCCTTGGCTTGAGCAAATCAGACGACCATGCTGCATGTCAATGGGAAAAGAATGCGTTATCTTCTTTGGGGTAAGGAGAAAAGGAATATTAGGAACAATCGTACAATCTGCCATAAATATTTGTGTGTATGTGTGTTCAAAACTTTCTAAATCTAAGGAAAAAAAGAGTAGACGTTGCAGATTGTAGCTATTCTGATAATAGGAGAGGGGTGTGGCTAAGACAGGTCATCTATGTGACTTTTTGTGAGACTCAACAAACAAAAACTTTTTAAAGTAAAATATATTTCAACTATTAGATGTGTTCTTCAACTTTTTTCTAAATTAAATAATGGGAGAAATTATTTAAACAAATAATTTTCATGCCCTATTTAACACATAAACTTCCAAAATGAAAATAACCACCCCTAATTTGCCATTTTTGTGCATTGAATATGAATCTGAAAGATACATACAATATGCTTCCAAAAAATACACACAAACTGGGTAGCATGCCATCAGGCTTGCCAACTGCTAAGGAACTTGGTGCTATCAGAGCCACTGATGTGGTTGCACAGGCTTGTCACTGACCAAAGGCACCAATCAAGAGGAAAATAAGAGGTGAGATCCAACCTACCCTTTGCTCACCAAGCCAGCTTCCCTGGTGCAAAGCTATGTCTACTCAGAGGAAGGGGCAACATTTTTCAGCTTGCACAAATGAGTCATTTAGCCCCAGATGAAGCTTCAGAGGGTAAGCATCAAAATCCTGGGTCTGGTTCATAATGTTGTGTGCAGTGATCATACCAGTGACAAAAGCTGTCTGAACTACACATTAAAACCTCAGACTAATATAATTCACAAGAGACTGTATATAATCGATATTTTTTTTACTGGAGTAACATAGAGTAAAAAATAAAACTGCCAAAAAGACAGGATACTCAAATCTTCTGTAGTTTTTCTTTTTTAAGTAGCAAGTGCACAGAAGTCAAATTATAATCTGAAGATGATCCTAGAACTGGATAAAACGGAGGCAGTCATATATTTTCATGTTAATGGTAACAAGTATCTCTTTCCAGAAGTATGCTGCTCCATAGGTGGAAGAATTTCCCTCATGCTCTATGCTCTCTCTGATTGATACGGCCAAACCACAGCCCCCATATCTACCAGTCCTTTACTGACCAATCCCCTCCTGACAGACATCCCCTCTTCAGATATATTAACATCATCTCAGAGCCTTTCCCTGAGTCATAAACCAACTAAATTTCTAAGTAGCAACAAGAATCCATGCATTTTAAGGCCCTTAGTACAATCTATCACAGATGTAGACTTCTTCCCTGGGTCACTGAGATGATCTCCAATATCTGACTTTAACCTTAGGCTGCTACATTTATGAGGTTTCTCTCATACATGAATTCTACAATATCTGTGGATACTTAATGTCCAGGTATTTTATGTGTTGAATGTTTACAGCAGTTTTACTCATGGGATATCTCTGCCTAATAATATCTTGTAACGTATAGCTGCAAAGTCTCCTAAATTTACCAGGACCAAAGGGTTTCCGTTTCTTAGTACATCTGATATAGCTATTTCAAAGGAAATTGCTCCGACACAGGAGCTTCTAGGTACCATTTTCCCCCTTGAGAAAATTCTGCATACATATTATTCTTTCTTCCATATCAAGTTGCATCTGAGATTTGGGGGGGGGGTTGCTATATTTTTGTTTTTAAAGGAATTGGACTCTCTGAGAAAGCCACATGGAATTTTCCTTCAGAGAACTGTCTTGTCATTCCCAGGAACTATGTACTTGTAAATTTTGATATTTTAAGTCCTCAACCCTTCCCCTTAAAGTCTCACAGGGTCTACATCTAGAAGTCTACACAAAGTTTTCCTACCCTTGATACGGTTCAAGCCTTCATGGTCTAGATCTCTGGGATGGTCTTCATAAATGGTCCCATATAACAATCTCTCAAACATCTGAAAGGCCTGGTCTTTCCAGCATAAAAGTTTCCCATCTTCTAAATGTGCTCTCTCTCCCATAACTATTATGTAGACCTATTATGTAGAAGTATTTGAGTTTCTCCACAGCTCTCCATTCCCCAGAGCACACATGTACACTAAAATCTGAGAACATCCTTAAAAGAAGAGAAGAGCTAAGAGACAAAATGATTAAAGCAAAAGACATCCTTGCAGATTGTTCTTCTACAACTGTGGGGTTTGATACAGCAGCCGCTTTTAGGATCCCTTTCTTTCTTTCTCTGCAGATTTAATCCCTTAAAAGAAACTCTTAATGGTACGTGGATGTGTTGTAGTAATGCTAATACCTTTCTCTCTTTTCCTCGGGAAGGTACCACTTAAGGTATTATAAATTCCTGGCATCTATGTGATGGGTCTCTATGAAAGAAATAAGCCATAAGAAAAACTAATAAGCTATTCCATTAAAGAAAATTACATATATGTGACATTTATCAAGTGCTAAAATAAGCAATACATTTATTTTTACAGCAAAGGATAACAAGAGAAAGAAGAAAGCAAAACTGGAAAGCGAAAAAGGAAATAGGAGAGGCAAATGAGATACAGAACTGTATTTGCAAAATATTTTTCTCCTTTGCTTAATGAAACAGTAGGTTCAAACCTTGCCTTCCCCACCCCTCCTCCTGCTTGTCTTACAACTTTTTTGTTATTAAGAGTAACTCCTTTAACTAACAAAATTCCCACTCAGTAGCCACCTCTGGTACATGGCAAATACCTGACTCAGTGCTATTATACTTGTCCCCAAAAGCTCAAAGCAGGTTCAAATTTACATAAAAGCTATTTGCTAGACATAGAGATGAAAAACATATTTAAGCAACATAGGTTTTTTTTTTATTTAAGTTGGCTCTTAGTGCTCGTTTTTAATAATGTTCATCACAGGAGCCATAAAACTAACAAATTTAGAACAATCCCACTCAATAAAAGCACCTCAATGTTATTGCCTGAAAAATAACAATTTTTAAATTAATAAATAAATTTCCAAACCATGTGTGACTGGGTGTAGTCACTCATTACAAGAGATCCAATTAACCTTCTGAGGCTAAGGGGCCAAATGACTTTACCAGAATATACAGTAAAAGCGTATTGCAAAAATTTCACTGATTCGTCCTACAGTCCTTTAAAATTTAAGCACAAGTTGATTTTCCAGACATTAGTGCAAATGTA